TTTGTGACTCTTTTTGCAACTCTTTTAATTTTTTTGCTTTTGTAAACTCTTCGTAAGTTTCGTTGTTTTTTATTCCATCATTCTGAACAAACATTGCAATATCTTCCTGAGCAATTGCAGAGTAACCATCCATATTTTAAGCTATGCCTTTCAAACTCATGGATACGATGTAGTAAATAATACATCTATATTTGTTCTCAATAGATTAATAATAAATAAATAGATTGATAGACTCTGATTAAAATCCCATGGTGGCAAAGGTAGCTACGAGGCATACAGTGACTTAGCAATAATATATTAAATTGTCATAGGGTTAAAGGTACAGTAGTTCTATAATTTAGTGGATACGCGGATACATGAATATGTAGGCAAGTCTTTATTTGGAGAATGAGGCATATTGGCATACGGTTAGATTAGCATTAATAGATCAAATTGTCATGCTATGGGTTGCTCTATATTTTAGTGCAGTGGATACCCGGATAGGCAGTTAACTAGTTATTGTGGCTTTCTGCCTTATATAACGTATCATTACGATGTTTTCAAGCATGATTCTGGCTTAATTGAAAAAATCGTCTCACAATGGTTTTTGGAAACGAGACCATGTTTTTTAATGCTGCATGACGTCCGATTTTCGTCATGGGATTCGAGGTTGCCATTGCAATTAATTTTCTATGATCGCTGAAGGTTTATGCCCTCCCCCCCCCCGTTTATCACGCACGTAGAGATCCTGGTTAGAAATGCTAAGAGAGCAAACACATGCTTGCTTGCCATTTATGTGCATGGTCAACTGTGTCACGGTGTAATGTTTCGCACAACCGGACATTGGTTTTAACAGATTATGATTAATTAGCGTCGCTGGGGAAAATAATTTTATGTTATAAAGCATACTAAACATATAGTACATCAAACATATATTAAAAGTCTTTCATGATATTTTCTTATAGCATTAATTCGTAATATAGTGTTAGTAATTAGTTTGTGTATATTAAAACAAGGCAATAAGAACTAGTATATACGTATCCAGTGAAATAGTGGCCGGGCTACATGATATATTTCTATTTTTTGTGTGTTGGTGTTGCTCAGAGTAACATCACAAACATGATATTACTGCTGGACGAGTTTTCTGCTATACCTCCTCTCTTCAATTGGGATAAGATATAATTTTACCTCGCAATAACAGTTTTTGAGTACCTTATTACAGGAAATTAACGATGCACTTTATTAACGCGGATTTTAAAAATTCGCGTTAATTAATAATTAATTTTAATTTATGTTATCGTTAATTTCAGGCATGCAAATTTTAGTTATCGTTAATTAAAAAGACGTTGATTTGTTTGATATATAAACACGAACTCTTTTAACTCAAAATACTAATATATACTACTATATCGTATTAAACCTTGTCACTGTCGGCAGAACCTTAAGCTCAACTATATTTTATATACATTGGCTTAAATTACTTTAACCTTTAACGTTTACAGTTTTGACATATCTACTTGCGTACAGTTTTAATCGGTATTTTGCTGTTGTGTTTATATTCTTCGACTCACGTTAATTAAATTAACTTGTTAACCATAAACTGTTAGATTCGCGTTAATTTAATCAATTTTAGAAGTAACTCAAAGCAATTCGCGTTAAATAGATGACACGTTAATTTATGTCGCGTTAATAAAGCGCATCGTTAATTTCCTATAATAAGGTATTTTCGGAACAAGAAAAGCAAGTTTGTAGATTTGCTATGGCATCGCAAAGCAAATCGTCCATATTTCTACACGTGGTTGAAAAACAACAATACGAATGGATCGATCAAGAACGTGCTGAGGCCTGGACGCGGATCAGTGATGACTGTCAATGAGGAAGGGCAAGGAATATGGGCCCTTTGGCAGTTTTGCCCCGCCACTGAAGAATCCCTAAAAAATGCACGGAGTGGTTGTAAATATGCTAATTCAAATGTATTATCATTGTTCATTTCTTTAGAAATCGATTGTTTTCTCAGTAAATGAACACGAAACTATTTGCATAGCGGGACAAAACCGTTGGGCTGGCTATGCTACTGTAAATGCGAACAAAATCATGTGTTTTGATTTTCTTTGGATTGTAATTCAGCTAAGCATTTAGTTGGCGAAAGTAAAGAGAAGACGAAAGTCATGAAACAATACAAAAGTTCATGTGTATTATTATTTTCTTGCATAATTTTATTGAACAAGATTGTTCGAAAGGTTAGCTGAACGACCAGCAGTCGGATTAACAATCCTTACAATTTCCACACGAAATGCATGACGACTAAGAATATTGCTCAAGTGCAGCCTGATTAACGTAATATTCAACTCATATGCTGCCGTTTTGGATGTGGTAAAAAATATTCAATAATGCATAATTATAATAATGATTTCAAATATGAAAATACAGGGTGTATAAAAAAACTGAACAGATTTGAAATTGCTCTCAATTTCGCAAAACGCCTCGTTGTATCAAGTATGTAGATTCCTTGAGTACCCATAATGTAGAATAATGAAAGGTACTCGAACTCAGATTGTGTAAACCAGGAAATGTTTCGATCTTTTCCAACAACCTAAAATGGCTTGCGCACGAAATTTAAAAGTTACCTAGTACCCAACCTCGTACCCAGAGCTTTTTGCTTCCGCGGTTGGATGGTCAGCGAAAAAGGCTCTTGGTTCGGCTGGTCTGTTTTGCAACCTGATCAGTCAATGATTTTGAATGTAATTATTCAATATATGCGGGAATAATTATTATTTTGGTGGAACGAGAGTGGAATGATAAATTTATAAATAGTTCATGAAGGAGTGAAGTATTGAGCAAATAAGAATTTTGACATTTCGCTCGAGATACAGCATGAATTATGGAAAGACAATACATCACAAAACAATTTGGTCCAAATTAAGTCTTTGTACCTTTTGTGTAGACGAGTATTTGCATCGGTTCAACATACATTTCTCGCATGCGTTGTTTACACGTCGTTGATTTCAAAAAACGTACAGCGTTATAGTCAAATAAAGATTGTTATACGAATTATTGGCTCATATTAAACACGATTTATATATAAATCAAACACTGAAGCGATTTTGTTTTGTTTAGTTATTTATTAAGTTATATTTAAAAGTCATCAATGTTACGAGTCATCAATATTACTGGCTTTGAGATGTTCAGAAAACTACAATACGCCATATCTCTAAGTTATCTCTATATACCACAACTTTAGAAAAGATAAGTGACAATTATGTATCATGCATATAGAGAATTGGATTTTTGAATCCTTTCATTGCAATGTTGCGTCTTGAGGACAGTATGAACGTTGAAGTTAATTTCTGAAGTTTGGACTTGTAAACATTTAAGACAGCTTTTATGTTGACACTCATTGGTAATATGATCAGTGTTTATTTACTATTGCATTACATGAAATATCAAATATATGAGGTGTTGATGTTATGACGTATGTCTGTCACTTGGTTTGTTTTCATCTAACGTCTTTAGGCGGGAGAAATTGTAATGATGTGAATGCAAATGATTTGCGTTGTTTTCATGTCAACGTTTTTATAAGGTTCCATGCTTCATGGTAGCTGTGATTGATTTCGGACATCGTGTAATTGCTGTAATTTCTCAAAGAACCGAGGGATTAATCATAAAAATAACAGAGGTCACAACTGGAAACCAACTTAAGTTTATTAATGCAAGTGGCACCTTCATAAGAACATTTATCAAAGAATCTAGCTCTAGGCTTGTCATAAAATACATGCCTAAGTCTGCCAACTACGATACGTTTGGCTGTGTGATTTGGACCTAGAATTACTGTTCGTATAATTTGTAAACAATATTAACATAATTTGTGCAGATATGGATGATGCTGGAAATGTGTATCTTTGTGTCACCACCACATGTCAAACACGTGGTTATGACTAACGCATGACATGATAACCACTGCACCCACTCTACTCCAAAATCTTGATAGAAAATGGATCTCTTTCATATTCCAAAGTATTTTGCATGTGTGCAGAGTGCACAATGTATAATGACGTCACAAGGCTTAATACCCTTAGTTGATCTTAGTTGTTTAAAATTAAATAATTCAAAATGACACCATCAAAATTTTCCCGGACGATGACTACGAAGACCGCCATTCCTCGCGGGCATCGAGCCTTGTGACATAATTATGCATAAAGTCTTTTGCTCACTAATTCTCAATAAGCTTTGTGTTTTCCAATGGTATGCAGTGTACTGTATTCAGTATATTGTGATTGCGCTGATGTTAGGGTGCATGCTTCCGAATGGGTGTGGTGATACGAAATAGGTGGTGGCACATGTGGTTTAGGTTTCCACCTGCTCCCAAATTCTATTGTGTATTTTTTAAGTTTCAATTGGTTTGGATGTAAGACCAAATAATATTTTCAACTAATCTGTGATGGTTGTATTTGTCATTTAAGGTTCATTTGACTCAAGAAGCTACAACTTCAGAGGCAGCAGAATATGGTTTTTGATTTAAACTAGAACTGACAGCTGCTGATTGGTGATCATCTAGGACATTCGAGAAGCAATACAACGAAGTAACTAGTTAGGTTTGTTCTGCACAGTCGTACTAAGTAAATGTAGTATCTACTTGGCACGCGTTACAGAATAAGCACTTCGGTATTTCACTGGTTAGATATATTTTATACCTTGGTTCTAGGATGTGACGTTTTAAGCCAAAGAATATTCTTAACTGTTTCGAACATGATAGTAGCTACATTTAGTTACTCTCGATTTCAATTTGCTTTTCAAAACTGACTTCCAATGTTTACTTGTAAATTCGAAATGTTCGTTGTAAAGTTCCGAAGTTTGTTTCGAAGTTCGTTCCGATGATTTACGATAATCAAGTTTAGTAAGTTGTAATTGGCTAGTTAAGTGAACCAGCCAATCAAATCGCTTGCTATTGAATCATCGTAAATCATCGTAACGAACTTCGAAACAAACTTCGGAACTTTACAACGAACATTCCGAATTTACAAGTAAACATTGGAAGTCAGTTTTGAAAAGCAAATCGAAATCGAGAGTAATACAACTAGAAATACATGCATGCAACAACCCCTCGCCTATATTTTCCAAACATTGTTTCAACATGAAGTATTCGTAATTTCGCCAACACTGAACGCAGGCACAGAATAAAGACATACAGAAGTGCAACTTCCATTACAAAACCGTAAGGCGCTTTTTACCGAAATAGCTGGCGGCCATGTTCTTAGCAAGTGCCCTAAAGAGAGGCATTCACCCCCCTGGAATATTAAATTTTCAATATGTTTTCAGGGGGTGACTGCCTCTCTTTAGGGCACTTGCTAAGAACATGGCGGACTGAAAAAATCCCTTACGCACTTTTAATAAGAAGATACACTTCTGTATGTCTTTATTCTGTGACGCAGGCTCGTGTTGCCACGTCATGTTAGTCATGGGAGCACGATAATTGTTTTTTAATTTTTTGTACAAACTGGGAAAAAATAGATGAAATTTGAACACTTTTAAATACAGAACTATCAATTTGTAAAATATATAAAGTAGGTATAATATTTTGGTTTCTATGGGGTTGATTTTAATGTGAAATTCAGAACGAAACTCTACGTAAAACGTTTTTAAATGTGAATTGAAATTAACTGCTTTTTGCCGATATTTATAAACTTCTCAACTCGAGCTTCAACTTATTATTCACACTTTGAAATGAAACTAATTTAATTTGTATAGGACGCTAATGAAAATAATTTGCTTTCCCTTTTATAATGAACTTCTGCAAAGTCTATGTTATTAAATACAAAGTCATACATAAACAATTGACACAAACTTGCTCTATACTTTAGGATTTATCACGCAATATCAAATCTTATCAATGTTTACGTTTAAAAATTGCAAAAAAGTTGTACAATTTGTTATGACTTATGTGAAACGATTTTCCAAGCTTTCTTACATGTATTTTTTATATTTTTGCCTTCTTCACTCCTGGCGAACAGTGCCAACTCAGTGGCGTAGCCAGACCTTCATTTTTTTGCCGGGGGGGGGCGAAGCTCACGCCGAAGGCGTGAGAGAGACTGTCTAAGTGGGTCCGGTGGCATGCACCCCTGGAAAATTTTGAAATCTAGAGTCCTTGAAATGCGATTTCAAGCATTTTTGTGGGGAAATCTAGCAGAATTCCGAAGAGTATAAAGTACATCGAAGACATGAATTTTCCCAGACATTTCTACTCGGAATTAAATAAATTGGAAATGTCACCTTGAAAAAGAGGAGCAGGAATCAGTCTTACCTTATTTCCCCCCTGTGATGCTGGGGGGAGAAAATCCCAATGTGATTTTGATCAGAAATGTTGGGTATAAATCATCCTAGGTTCTTATGAGACACCATTTCCGCATTCTCAAAATTGCGTTGCTTTTTTATACGATACAGAATAAGTCGAAGAAGAAATATTCAAGCTATGATAATGCGCACATGTATTTTTTTCAGTTAAAAATCTAAACTAAATCTATATTTCTTGTAACCATATCTACAAGACTACAAATGCTTTAACGAGATTTTACAAATCAAGTTCCTCCAGTATATCGTCTTTTTCCTCAGTCGAGAAGTACTTTTTCGGTTTCAGCTTCGATTAGATTATGTAACGTGTACCCCACCCCCAATTTCTCGACGGATTTAGCCTTTTTGAGAGCATGGTTTTGTGGCGATTGCCGATTGGGGGGGGGCGGTCGCCCCCCCCCCTGGCTACACCACTGTGGCAACTTTTATTCGTCTACAACGGTATTGCGGTTATCAGTCGAAGCAAACGGGAAGGAGAAATAGAATTTCCCCAGAGAGTCAGGCATTCACCAATTACCTAAAGGGGGAATGTATACGTAGTTCTGCGATCGAAGCAATAATGTTATCCCTGTCATGATGGCTCCCATTGCTGGCTTCTCGCAGCCACTAAAAATCTATCACCTCGGTAACCACTAAGCAAGAGGGGAATATATCACATGTTCGCAAATTTAATGTGGATTCCACACCGCTATCTCCCGCGGATCTCCAGCAGCATATATGTAACAAATATAGATAACGTTTGGCGTTGCACAGTCGAAATTTTAGCTATGCCTAAATGATCTACAAGTACAAAAATGAAGAAACGCTATTGGCTAGATTAAGTTCCTACTTAATTAAGGCTGTAATTTCGTGAGCCTGTCCTCTAACAGATAATTGCTCTGGGCCAATGAATGAATTCTTAAAAGTTATGTTTTAAATCCTATTCTTGGAAGATGCTCGGAAAACTGTAGCCCTTTCTGGTAAGTGCCTAACCTGCCGCGAGAAATATGAATACCTAATGTAACGATGGGGCATGTGCGCTGTGGAGTAACACTATGGTACTGGTAGTGATGCATACAATTTGCCCAGCAATTCAGCCAAGCGAATTATTCACTTGATGTTCAAATACCGCTTATGGCCAGGAATTATATATTTAGATAGATATTTAGCTGAAGAATTTGGGGATCGGAATGTACAAATTTTAGCAAGATGTAAAAGACGAACTCTTTACTATATACAAATGGCCTGGCGATCTAAAATAATGAGGTATTCTAATTTTCAGGCGTTATTTATTCTAATCCTGGACCAGTTAGTAAAATGGTTCCAAAGCCAGTCAATCTGAAGTACAACCTATCTAAAGGAAGCAGTATATCAACAATAATATCGGCCCTAAGAACAGCGCCCTGCAAAATTTCGACGACAAGCATGTGCGGCGAATCTAATTTATGTGTACGACCAGGATTGCACGGCAAGAAATAAAGGTTGTAAATCGCTAAGGAATGTTAATCCCCGTTTACATGAAAATTTCATTTGATCAAATGCGTTTGATCAAAAGCTAGCATGCTAGCTTTGTTCAAATGCATTTGTCACAAATTTATCATCTATACACGAACAAAATATCTGAGTTTAACTATTCTGCGGGTTGCGGGCCGAAAAATGCGGGCCAAAAAATGCGCGCTGCGGGCCGAAAAATGCGGGCTGCGGGCCGAAAAATGCAGACTAACACGTTTGCGAGCCGCGGGTATAGTTGCGGGCATGAAGAATTTTTAAAAAAGTATTGTCAAAATGTAAAGAAAATAACAATATTATTCAAAATTTTCTGTCTTTGAAGTATATGCTATGTCTAATAGTTACAAAACTGACCGCTTTAAACATTCCTTTTTACCCGAAATTATTTCTAAAGAAAATAGTAGTGGTGCCAACCTTCCTATCCATGCCTAAACTGCGAATTTCTATTTTCATTGAAATTTGTCAATAATTTCATTAAAAATAGGTACGAAGTGCGTACATGTTGCATGCCATCATAACCATGAAACCTCAGGACTCATAATACTATACAGAAATCCATCTCCATTGTTTTCTGCGTAAGTGTTATTCGTCATGATTCGTCACTCGGCAAGTATCGTAATCAGAAGCAATCACCCCCCCCCCCCTGGCACAGAACAGAGACACACAGAAGGTAAACTCGAGTAACCACTACCAGGTCTCAGCCAGTGCGGCTACATAACCTTAATGTGGTTAGACGTGTAATATATCGCTCCACATTATTCTTAAATTTTTTT